CAGTTGGAGACTTTGAAGTCGATCCACGCGGACGAGGTTGCCAAGGCTGTTTCCGGTGCCCAAGCTGCCCATGCGCAGGAACTGGAAGTGCTCAAGTCTAGCCATGCTGAAGAGATCAACAAGGTTATTGCTGAAGCCAACGCGACTCACGCTAACGACTTGGAAGCTCTCAAATTGAACCACGCAGCGGAGACTAGCAAGTCGCTTGACGAAACCCGCGCAGCCCACTCTCGAGAAATTGAAGCGCTAAGTTCAAGTTATGCTTCTCAGGCTGCGAAGGCGGCCGCCGAGAGTCAGGCAATGCACGCCCAGGAGTTGGATGCTTTGAAAGCTTCATTCGCAGAGCAGGCGTCCCAAAAAGACTTGGACAGCAAGGCTGCCCACGACACGGAGTTGGAGGCACTCAAGTCTTCCCATGCAGAGCAGATCACGATGCGAGAATCTGAGATCAGGGCCACGCATGCTAGCGAGTTGGAGAAGCTCAAGGCGAAACATGCGGACGAGTTGAATAATGTAAAGCACGATGGCGATACTCGTCACTCTGCAGAAATCGCTGCTTTGGTCGCTGCCCACTCTAGCCAGGTTGACCAATTGAAGGCCGAACTATTCAATGCCCATGCTCAGCAAGTCCAGGCCCTTCAAGCCGACTACGCCGAACAACTTAGCAAAGCGAGACAGCAGTCCGATGGAGCTCATGTCGAGGAAATCGAGGCATTGAAGACAGCTCACTCGAAGCAGATCGAGGAGGTTAAGGGTAGTCTGGTGGCAGCGCATACTACAGAATTGGACTCGATTAAGGCATCTCACGCTAAGCATATAGACGACCTGAAGAAGGAGAACGGTGCCCTACATGCCGCGGAAATTGCAGCACTTATCGCGTCCCACGGCAAACAGATTGATTCCGTCAAGGCCGAAAGCCAGGCAACACTGGCGAAGGAGCTCGCGGCCCTGAAAGAATCTCATGCACAGGATATTGACTCGTTGAATAGCCAACATGCCGCTACTCGTGCTCAGGAGCTGGAAGCTTTCAAGGCGGCTATTGACAAACAGGTCGAATCTTCTCAGACTGAAGGCGATGCTGCTCGTACCAAGCAGATTGAAGCCCTCAATGCTGCCCATGCAGAGGTTCTAGAAGCTCAAAGACGCGACAGCGAGAAATCGCAGTCGCAAGCCCTAGAATCGCTGAAGGCTGCCCACGAAAGAAACGTCGAGGCTTTGAAGAGTGAACATGCTGCTTCAAGGTCGAAGGAATTAGAGGAGATTTCGACCATTCATCTCAAGGAACTGGATGCCTTAAGACAAGAGCACGCGTCCTCTAAATCTCAAGCTCTAGGAGATCTAGTCGCCTCCCATTCCCAACAGCTTGAGGATCTTCGCCAAAACCACCTGAAAGAGTTGGCAGATCTAAGCTCGACGCACGAGTCTGCCAAGGCTAAGCTAGTAGAAGAACTTACCAACTCCCAAACACAACAGGTCCAAAGTCTCAATCGGGATGTCGAGTCCAAGGTAGCTGAGATCACCGCATTAACGGCCGACCATGCAAAGGCTCTAGATGCACTAAAGGCCGAGTCCCAGGAAGCGGTATCGCAAAAGGAACATGAGCTTACGAATGATCGTGACCAACAACTCGAACGCCTCAGAGCTGCGCATGAAGAAGCCCAAGCTAAGATTCTGCTAGAGTTGAAGGACACACACTCTCGTGAAATAGAAAAGGTTCGCCAGGACGGTGAGGACCGCCAGTCTGTAGCCTTAGAAACTCAAAAGAACGAGCACTCTAGAGAGCTCGAGGAGAGTCTTGCTAGAGAAGTGGAGGCTCTAAATGTCAATCACGCCAACGTTCTCGAGTTACTCAAGAGGGATTACTCTGCAGAAAGAGAGAGACTCCTAGCGGACCACGCAGTCGAGATCGAAGCTCTTCGCCAATCTCTGACGGTTGCGCCGCCTATTCTTGGCTTTTCTCCTATGACTTCAACCGAAACGGAACCGATCGAAGCACGTGATCTTAGAAGTCCCAGACGAGAAGCATTCATTATCCCTCGAGAGGATCGCCACCCCCAGACACCCGCGATCGGATTACTTGGACGAAGGGGCGAGAGGGCTGCTACGCCAGAGATTGCCGAAGATGACACTCGCCAGTCTCCAAATGCTACTCCCGGCCCCGAAACCCCCGAGTCGCAGCGTCCTTTCAAAGAGATGTCGACAAACACGAACGTCCGTCCGTCCCACAAGCAAGCAATCCCTACCTTCGACCAAGGTGCACAAACTACTCTTACTTCCGATGGCCTTGATCGATTGTTGACGCAAAGCCACGCGTCTGAGGACTCGGTTACGATTACAACTGCTCGCGGTGAAGTTACGGTAACGGCTTTCGATGAAGCACGAGCGAAACAAAGGGCGGGTGAAGGTAGCGCTGTTTCCGCCCCTGATGCAATTCCCCAGCGACGACCGGGCAGCTCAGCCAGTACTCGAGGTTCCGCGGCGAACATGCCACCCCTGCCTGCAAACCATCGGGAAGCAATCGAAGCTGCGCGCACCAACTCGGCTAGTGGAGGAAAGGGAACCATGGGACCCCCATTGTTGCCCGCATCGGCTTACAAGCCCTCGACCCCTCGACCTGAAACCCCGAGCAGCAAGCGCCCAATGTCCGCGAATTCAGTCAGAGGCACTCCGACACCACGAGCCGGTAGAACTTCGATGCCAGGTTACGCAGATACTCACTCATCGGCAAGACTGGCCGCCCCCAGCCGGCAGTCATCTATGTCGTCGTTCACGTCTGAGGTCGAGACACGGTTTAACATGCGCAATGAGATGGGCATAGATGCTGCAGCCTTCGGTCCCAACACCGATCCGCGCATGATCCAGGCCATTACACAAACCATGATCGGCGAGTACCTCTGGAAATACACGCGCAAGACTGGCCGCGACGAAATGTCGGAGAATAGACACAGGCGGTACTTCTGGGTACATCCCTACACCAGAACCTTGTACTGGAGCGACCGAGACCCTTCTTCCGCTGGTCGAGCGGAACTGAAGGCCAAGAGTATCCAGATCGAGGCCGTACAAATAGTGGGTGACGACAATCCTATGCCGCCCGGACTTCATCGTAAGAGCTTGATTATCATCTCTCCTGGACGAACAGTCAAGTTCACTTGCACGACTGGCCAGCGACACGAGACTTGGTTCAACGCGCTCTCTTACCTGTTGCTTCGAACCGGCGAAGAGCATCAGGCAGATGCGGAGGATGTAGCTGGCCAAATCACCCAAGAGGATGTTGACGAATTTAATCCTTCAATGGGCCGACGGCCTGCTAACGGGACCCGAATGCGAGCACCGCCGTCCTTGTCTTCTTACAACTCTAGGACCACAGTTAATAACTCTCCCAATGTTGAGATATCCATGAGGATCCCCACACTAACCCCAACACGCGAACGAGAATCCGTACGTAATGGTACATTGGGTAGATTGAGCGGTTACTGGAAATCGAGCTCGATAAACAGCACCTTCAGCAGCTTGAGAAGCAGATCTCACATTACTCCCCAAAACAGTGCGATCTACGAGGCCAGTGAAGTGCATGACAGCGCTGAGGATCTGAGGCAGATCATGGAGCAGCAGGACAGAGAAGCTGGCAGGATGGAGAACGTTCGAGCTTGCTGTGATGGTAAATCCCTCTCTTGAAGTCAGAAAATAGGATAATGTACTAACAGAATATTAGGCAAGCACGACGTCAGCCTTCTGGACCACAAACGTAGCCGTCTCTCGAACAGTCATTCCCACTCGCACATGCATCCTGGACCATCGACGACACCGACGCCTAAGAGCACGACTCGGGCTCGCACATAATCGGCCGTCTTCTTGCGTCACACTTACCACAGCTCCGTGACTTGAGCCTCTCGTATACTCGTATTCTTGTCTATCACTCGCTATACCATGTAAACTTTTAAACCGCCTCATCCTACCTTCTTTCCGCTACGAAGACCAGTCATGGATTCTTACGATGCTTACGACTATACTTTTTCTTTACACGTTTATCTAATTCGCCTCCGTTCGGGGGGGCCTCATTCTGCGCCAACCGACTATGGTTGGGGCTACGATTGCATTCATTGCGTTAAAAGCCGTGCTAACATACCCGAAACAATGTTTTATCGGAATCATTCTGGAGTTAGGAGAAAGGAAACCGTTGCACAAACCACAAAACTACTCGGACATGGGAATTCAACACGATTCGCGGACCGTCAGGAAGTTAAGGAGTTAGTACGATTTCTTGCAGGTCGCGAGACTCTAGCTATAGGAGGTGCAGTTGCTTCACCTGGTGGAGGGTCTATACGTGACCCGAGTTTTGCGCTGCATAATAGTACGCTTTTGAATGTTCTTGGGCGGTTTGGTCAAGGGAAGGCATCGTTGTATGTTCTCGTTAGAGCATTGGCATCGGCAGAGTTACAGTTGTTGAATGAGATTGTTCTTATTGACTATAGTAAAAACATAAATGCTTCCTATAACATAGGTACCTATCGTCGTGGACTTGAAGTAGATGCTGATGACTTGTGACTGAAAATCGGGTCACATTTTTGTGACAAGCGTAACAATCCTTCTAGAGCTACGATCTTCACTAATCACGGTACCCAGGTATTGTTAGCAGTGCCACGATACCTATGCCGAATGGCAATGGTAACTCGCTCATATGATGAGTTAAGTCCGTCAACTGGAGATGCTTGAGTAATAGCATTTGCTACGCCGTCCGCATTAGCCTGTCCCATTTTTAGTAAATAATGCGACCGTAGCGTTTTAGGGGCTATCGGACTTAACTTGTCAGCAACGCCCCGAATGAAGAATTCAACGTAGAAATCCACATAGGTATATTGGAATCTACCTAAGCGTTACATGAGTTTGGTGTATAGAGGTACCTAGTATTGAAATTGTATACAAGTAATTCTTGAGAATATTTATCAGATAGGTATCTCTAGGTAATTACCTTGATAAAGAGGTTATCCCACGTTTTTTTTTGTTCATTCCCCAGTCGATGATTTACAATTATATCGGCGATTAGATTACGTCTTTCAGATGCCATTCCAATCGGACTACGGGTCTCGCTCTTCGGGGATAAATATTACTCGATTGGGACTTAATACCCAACCGAAAGTCAAGTACAGGATCGATATCGAATAGTTAGAGCCGGACGCGACCCGGCATTAGCTAAACGTCATGGACGGAGAATACGGATGATAGGTGTGCCGAACGGTAGAGATGCGGCGGGGTGATGTATGATGGCCTATATAAACGGCTTCTCTCGCCAGTGTTGAATGTCTTGCTATTCTCATATTTCATCGCATCTCAAGATTCACATCTCACATCTCATACACAAAAGACTTAACTACATCGACCACATTTCACAATGGCCTCAGACAAGAAAATCGTCCTAGTCACAGGCGCCAACACGGGTCTCGGTTACGAAATAATCAAAGCCCTGTACCAAACAGACATCCCCTACGAAATCATCGTCGGCTGCCGCACCGTCTCCAAAGGCGAAGCCGCCATCGCCAAACTCCGCGCAGAAACCACATCCCCCTCCCCTTCCTCCCTCACCACCCTCCAAGTCGACCTCAACTCCGACGCCTCCCTCGAATCCGCCGTCGACACCCTAACATCCACCTACGGCCGTCTAGACATCCTCATCCACAACGGCGGCGGCAGCTTCGACACCGAAGTCCGCGCCGGCCGCATGACTCTCCGCGACGGCTTCAACGCCACCTGGGACACCAACGTCTCGGGCACACACGTGCTAACCACGCTCTCCGTGCCGCTCCTCCTCAAAAGCTCCGACCCGCGTCTCCTCTTCGTAACCAGCGGCACGAGCTCCATGGCCGAAACGGAGGCGCAGAATAAACGCCCGAGTCTGCAGCGCTTGAACGACCCCCCGCCGGCGGGATGGCCCAAGCCGCAGACGGGAATGGCGCTGACTATGTATCGCGCTGTGAAGACGGGGTTGAATATGCTGATGCGCGATTGGACGCGACAGCTGAAGAATGATGGCGTTAAGGTTTGGTGTATTTCCCCTGGGTTCCTGGCGACGGGGTTGGCGGGCGTGGGGGCGGAGAAGTTGAGGGAGGTGAGTTTTGAGCTTTTTTTCGATTTTTTTTATTAATATTCGTTGCTTGAATGTTTCACTGACTTTATTTAGATGGGTGCTATGGATCCGGCGCTAGGCGGACAGTTCGTTAGGGACGTTGTGGCTGGACAGCGGGATCAGGATGTTGGGAAGGTTATTCGGGCTACGGAGATACAGCCTTGGTAGGCGTGGGTGTGATTAGCGTGAGGGAGATGGGGAGATAGGGGTAGATATTGTATAAGTAGAATTAAATGTTTTTTTGTTGACTTTTCACCTTTTCATCCTGCTATCCCGGATTTAACTACCTAGTACCTTCTTGAAGTTGAGAACAAGTGTCTACTTACCTACCTGGTGCGTAACGGTAATGATTCGCGGGTAGTTAGACAGGTAAGCCCTCTCCTCTTACATAAAGGCCATAGTATTATTCTTTGTTCCCCTTCCCAAAGCAAAGAAAGAAGAGGTTTCACAATGCGTTGTTCTACAAGTGGCTTCTCATCTCTTTGCCCTTATGTTTCAGAACAAGCGCACAATATTCGGCATATAAGATGTTGAGTCCTTCTCTCCTACCTACCTAGTACGTATACAATTCATCCCAAAGCTGCATCTTAAATCCAGGTAGGTAATCCTCAGTAAAAATGAAGAAGTGTGGCTGTACTCTCTATTACGCCTTTTACCCCTGCGGACACCAGTCGTCCGAATGGACGTACTGCGCCGTAGCAAAGGCTAAGAATCTCCTCAGGCGCGGTCCGCCGACGGCCTGCAATTCGTACAGGGCAATAGAGGGTGACCCGGATCTAGAAGACACCTGCGGATCGACATGTCTTACACAGCCTTACCAGTGTACCAAGTGCGGAGAACCTAAAGAAGTAGGCTGGCGATGCTCTAATTGCCAGTGTATCCGCACCAAGGACTCTCCCGTGTGGGGGCCGTGTGCGTGCTCAAATCCCAATCATAAATGCCCTCGCCTTGCACTGGGTAAGACAGGTAAGGCAGTGTGTGAGTCCTGCACCAGGGGAGCCTGCATACTATCGATACCGAGGACCCAGTCTCAGGTCAGAAGTAGACTGCCCATGCCTGTCTTACATTGGAAATGCCACATCTGTTCCCGTGAGACATCCACTCCGGCGAATGGGATGAAGTGTGGCGGCCCTCGTGGCGTTAACGGGTGTGGCCATACGAGATGTGGTAGTTGTAGAGCACTATTTTCATGTACATGCGGATGTGGATGTACTTATAACTTTGTCGAAGGTGGCCCAGGGGTTTGCCAGTCGTGTACGAGGTCTTGTTCTAGAGATGATGGTGCCATGCAAGTACCTATCTACCTATGCAGGTAGGTAAGTTGGACTAAGTTTAATAACAAATAACTGTTGAATACCTACCTACTTCTCTAGTACTTATCATGAATACCTGTAGGTGACTATCAAGTGTGAACTTTCTAGGTAGACAATAAGAGTTTGTAGAATACTACCCTAGCATTCCTTAGGAGATGTCTACCGCAAGCCATTGCCTTTTCTCACTCGTTAAAATCTTTACGTTACACAGAGGTGTCTCATAAAAGCTGAAGAAATTCCTTCCAACAAACGAAATCTCGGAAACTTTGCAGTTTTAAGAAAGACGATGCACCGCTTTACACCATTTTATCTCACACCTGGGGGGCTGACGAGATAGCATTCATCAACATCCAAACCATATGGCCGCTCTACAGGCGAAAACAGATTAAAAAATACCTACTTACAAGGTGATGTTCTAACGAAGCTGTCAGCGATCTTAAAGAGGTGTATATGGGTCGACACTTGCTACATCGACAAGCCAGGTAGCATGGAGCTTTAAGAAGTGATTAATTCTATGTATAGATGGTACGGGAAGGCTCAGATCTGTTATGCGTACCTCATCGATGTAGAGTTTAGTAAGGACCTCGACGAATTCTACAGCATGTGCAGAAAAGCAAGGTGGTTTACTAGAGGCTGGGCGATCAACAACCAGGCTGGGGGATATGGCATATTGCTTGCCAGGGATCCTTGGAATCAACATATCTCTGCTATATGGTGAGGGTGCTAATAGTGTAAGTACCACTCTATCTCGATTATTATAAGGGACTCTGACAATCAGACCATACTGTCGTGGGGATAACGTATGATATTTGACAAGCGAGATTCGCAGGCGCTAGCTAGGTACATCTCCAAATGGCTTTTCAGCGTGTTCTCATCTTGCTCTCCTTAGCGTTTCCGAACCCGGCGATTCCTTTCCACGATCCAGAGAGGCCTTCAGTTGCATCTTCCAGTATTGGACCTATATAGAAACGGGTTTATACTGTGCTGTCTTCTGGCCTTTAGAAGGAAGCAACGTCGTACTATGATGCAGATATAAAGGGTCATTTATGAGCGGGTGTACTGTGGTTCAAATTCGCCCTAGAGACTACCAGTACAAACCACGGCGAGGCCTGGATGATGATATCGGGAATCCCATCACAGAATCACTTTGGGCTCCTCTAATGTTGAGATGTGATGTGACGAAAACCGAGATACATCATTTAGGCAAGAGTTTCTATGAAATTTGGTATGTTGGGTTTAGTTTAATTGAAGTGGACGTAAATGCGTTGGTGTTGGATTGTGTGAGAGATTATGAACTTTCATTCGGCACGCAGCCAACATTAAACTTACCTAGTAAATCCTCGAAAGGTTATAATTTGGCCTTAGAGAGGCATAGGATATTGCCGGGCAGATCTGACGCTTCATACACATGCTAATCGGCAAACGAAGCTAGAAGCATGTTTGGAGATTCGTCATCAGAGGTCTCCTGTTGATCTATTAGACAGAATGTCGATAAGATGGTTACCCTTGGTATCTATATTTTCTTTCGGGTAAAATAATGCGTTGACCTAGGTAGTAGGTAGTCTCTAATGGTTTTCAATTACATAGGAGGTAGTCAAACAAGACTTGCATTTCTATGAGCAAATATAAATCTCATTTGGGATGTAGTCAATGGGTAGATCAATGCACTGAAGCCATTCGAGTATCAGGTCCACGGGAATTCTCCTTCACGTGCGAATTCTAGGTTGGTATACATCATCTTGGGTCAGTGCAAATCCCCCGACTTTCAAGCAACCTAAGCATTTTCGGTTACGACCCCGAATACGGGGCAAGATTTTCAGTCGGCGAATGGTCGCTTGCGTGGTTGTCAGGGGAGGAATTAACCCCCTGGACCAGCGTCGTATTTGTACTTTTTTTCAACCCAACACCAACACCTCCGCCAAATATTCTCAGCCGTTCTAACAGTAGCTAGGTAGGTACTATGTAGTATCTGATGTAAAGATTGCATGCTGACAACGTACACTTTTTAAACTCTTGCTGACGTGACCCGTGCCCGTAGCTGTCAGTCGAATCTATGTAATACCTAACCTTCTTACCTACCTAGTACCTACTCCTAGATTGCCGACTGTTACACTTTTTCCCCCCTTCTCCAATCAAAATTTTCAAGGAGGCGCTATAAGGCAGACCAGCGGTCGAGAACTGTTGCGCTTCGACGGCTGAAAGGATCGATCTATGCTCGTCTCCACACACCGAGGTTCTTTGTCCGCGATCCTCACTGGCATGATCCCTTCGACGCTTCGACCCCTCGACTGCTCGACCCCGGGACCCCGACGGTATGGACCAAGCAAGGATATATACTAACCCCATCTTGGCTATATCTAACGGCGCCAGTTTATACCAATAGGGCTAACTGCTTAGCTTCGGGAACCGTCCTATTCACTGTGGAGATGGCCGTCTGACTGTGTTTGCCCTATTAATTGCAATGCCTCCAATTAATCCTGTTAATATTTCATCCGCATCTGAATTTCATGCGGAGAGACTTGTGGGCCATGGAATCGTACATCTCGTTTCTTCATTCAACCTTCAGCTCCTCCCCTCTCTGACGTTTATTACCTACCTACATACCTACCTACCTTGTACTGTACCTTCACCATCTCTGATGTAACGTGGAAGCATACCACCCCCATCTTATAGCCGATAGAAAGCATGTCTAAGTATCGAATCGCTTGAGAATCTGCTTCTCTTGCGTCTCTTGCGCCTTGCCACACTATGTCTTACGAGTCAACCGAAGCGGAACATGTCGGCTATGCGTGCGCCGCATTGTCGGTTCTCATCCTCGCCATCCGAATCGTCATCTCAGGATGGCGTCGCGAGCCATTCGACCTCGGCTTCTTCCTTGTCGTGATGTCGATGCTAGTCATCATCGGCCGAATCGTCGCTAACAATTATTATCTGCAATTCGGAACCGCCAACGACGTTTTGCACAATGGCATTGTTCCCTCTAGCGACGACGAATATCGGTTGAAGGTTGGAAGTATTCTGGTTCTTCTGGCAAGGGTCCTGCTTACTGCGGGTCTATGGCTACAGGTCTGCCTTCTGCTGCTGTTTTACTCGCGCATTACTTCCGGCATCACTTGGGCGAACCGGCTCACCAAGATAACCTGGGCTACTTTGGGAATCACCTTCGTCGCCATCGTGCTAGCGACTTTCCTCGAATGCCGTCCGATTGAACTGTACTGGCAGGTAGATCCTGATCCGGGAACATGCGTGCGCGCCTACGTTCAACTACTTCTTCTAGGCGTCTCGAACATCGTCATCGATCTACTGGTACTTTTCATCGCGTATCCTCTGATCTGCCTGAGGAAGCGAAGCTGGTCGGAATATATCTCCTTGTACACCCTCTTCGCGCTAGGCACCTTCTGCATCGTCGTCACCATAATCCGCGTCGTCCTAATCTTCAACGAGAATTCTTCGCAGACAACGCGCAGTCTTTGGGCATCGGTGCAGATGTTCGTCTCGTGCTTCGTGGCGAACGCGCCGACTATTTACGGCTCTCTGCGCGTTGCGCGACGCAAGAGATCTGGCCATCGGAGCGCGGCGGATTATGCGAGCGGAGAGCCGCTGAGTCGGCCATCGCGTTTCGAGGGCGAATCTTGGATTAAGATGGATGAGGAACTTGCTTCGAAATCGACAGCGCCTGGGGCGCGGGATAGTCTCGTGTCTCCTCCCCCTCCTGCAGTAATCTCCCACGACGACGATATTATTCCCGCATCGCGCTCTCGCTCTTCGTCTCTTATTTTCGACGCGAGATAAATGGATTCCGAAGAGCTAGATATGTCACACAGGACATCAGTCTCTGTTTGAAATATCGACAAGTTGATAGGTAAAGATTGTGACGACAAGAACCGTGCTTTTTTGGTGTAATCATTGGGAGCTATTTGAAAAGCACGGATTCACGCGTACGGCCGATCATTCCGGTTCCCTGGTAGCCACCTGTGCGACATCGAATCTGAGCCAACCCTGTCACGAAGGGGTGGGTTAGGGTTGGGGATAATCAACTCTTGGTCTCCAGCATCGAATTGTTAAGGGGATAAAAGAGAACAAAGCACTACACTAACACTACTTGTCTATTGGCAATTATATCGATTAATCATCCTACTCAGGGTCCGACTGGTTCGTCCCATCCAGTAAGCGAAGCACTCATTCTAGATAACCAACCATCGATGCTGATCGTGTTACCAGTCATTACTGACAAGATCAACAACAATTGCGAGTAATCTCGATTACTACAACACCTAATTTCTATATTACATTATTACAACACAGCACATACAAATATCTGGCAACGAATCATTACATAAACCTATGGAATATGGCACACAGTATCGATAGAACGTGCCATACGGCCTCATGGCCTGGTTTTCCCTTTGGAGGCGGCGACATTGTTTTTACGAGATACCCTGGGATTTTGGTAGCGCATGAGGATTGAAAAGGTATCTGGAGGCATGAAGGAAGGGAGGGTGGCACTGAGAACTTGGAAAATAAAAATATCTATAATGCATTTTAGATAAGTCACAGTTGTGATTTCAACTATGTACCCTAATAGAACCGACGGCGTCGTGTAAATATTTTGGCTCCTAAACTGGCTCCCCAACCCTACCTACTATGTAGTAGCTTGTTGTGAACTAACGAAAGACCTGGAAAATCGCTTAATTTTCTGGAATCCTTCCCAGATTCATAGCTTCTTGGCGCATAAGTGGCTGCTCTTAGGACATATTGAGTGTTTGCTAGTCAAACCGTTAGCGTCTAGACCCGGCCCCTGACAGCCCTGATTATATTCCCTAGCGACGGATTAGTTTGGCAACGCTCGAACCAACCTCTCGAATTCTCCAAGGGTCTTCTTGACCATCTTATCGACGTCGTGGTTCCAGATCTTGTGAAATCGCTTGGTGATCTCCGGGAGAAACTTCCCGAAATCGCTACCGACGTTTTCATCCTGCCAGTGGAACAATGCAACAGCTTCTCGGGTGGCTCCCACAAGCCACTGCGTGCGATCGTATCTCATGTTGTTATATGCGGCTAGTGCATCGCGGCAGAGTTCGACCTTCGTCTTCCCACTTTGACCATCGAGTTTTGCGTTGACGGCCTCGAGCACTGTCGCGAGAACCAGTCCGTCTTCTATGCCGAAACCGGCTCCTGAACCGAGGTGCGGACCTGCAGCATGAGCCGCATCGCCTGCGATAGCCACACTATCACGATAGTAGTATGGCGCGGGGTTCTCGTACATGTCGAAGATGGCCCACTTCTGCAGCTCATCAGGCATCATGTCTGCGATCGCCCTCACTTGCGGATGCCATCCCTCGTAGGCCCGAAGAGCCTCTCCCTTACTCCCAGAAGCCGTGTGCTTGCCATCCTCAGTCTTCCACGGGTTCGGGTCAGAGATGACGAGCAGGATGTTCAGAAATTGGCCCTGCGCGACTGGGTATGTAATGCTGTGTGCATTCGGCCCGTTGTACATGAATCTGTTTAGCGATTTGTCACCTCCCGTTGTCCGCTCCGCGCCTAACGCCGCCCGAGCCTTCTCCATCGGAACTAATGCCCTAAAGCAATATTTGTTTGTGTAGCTGGCATATGACGCTGGGTTGGTCTCTCCTAATATCAGTTGACGAACACGTGAATGGATTCCGTCGCATCCGATTACTTTCGCTTGTGTTAGCTTTTTCATAATCTGCTGCTAGAGTTTACGGATGGTGGTTGAGGGGGATATTACCAACATCCGCTTCGTCCACGGAACCATCTTTAAACTGTAGCGATACTTTGCCGTCATCCTTAATGATAAGAAATGCCAGTTCTTTGTTGAACTTCACATGGTCCTTGGAGATGAGCTCCGACCACCCATCTACAAAGTCGGAACGGCGCCCTCCCAGGAAAGAGTCGACACCGATCTAAACGAACACGAAAACTTCGTCAACATAGGAAACCTATGCCAACTGTATTTAAAAAAGGTTACATACTAACAGTCTCGCCGCGACCTCATTTGTTTTATAGCCATCGACCCATTGGAAGTGTTCTTCGATGTGAGTTGGCGCGGTCAATTTTTTGTACACACGATCTATTTCAGGGTTGATGATCTTGAAGGCGCGCTCAGCATTAGGGCTGAATCCGATACCGGCTCCGAGCTCCGTGAAACCCGGGGTCCGTTCATAGAGGGTGAAACCAACGCCACGCTTCTGCAGACCTAACGCGAATATAATACCTGTGATACCTCCCCCGATTATGGCGACGTGGATGTTATTGGTTCCTTCAGGTGACATAGCGTGGGTAGTTAGGTGCTAGGTACGGTCACAAGTGAGTAACTCTGAGCTACGTTACGTTGTGAAAGGGCAGAGGTAAAAGTGTCTTCTTTATGGAAGAGACAGAATGTGCGAGTGAAAAGTAGGGGAATATAGGGGAATACAGGGAAAAGAATCAAGATCTTAGGACATCCGATGGGGTCATCATCTACTTGCCTCGACATCTATTAGTCGTTCGATGGATTTTACTGCTTACTTTTTGCTCATTTAGTGCTGATTTCAAACGTGTAATAAGATCAATCAAAGCCTGCAGCTCGAAAACTCGGTGCCGATAGGTGGCTTATAGATCCCCGGGGTGCCGAGGGCTTTTGGGGTAGCTGTTGACCGGTATCAGCATTCAGCTACTGTAACTTTCGGTCTTAGTCGGGGTATACGTATGCATCGGAACCCGTATGGAGAAGTGCCGGAACCCGCGTCCGTGATGTTTTGTAACGGCCTTTTTTACGAGGAGAATACCTTTGTTTCGAATTAATTGAAATATGGGAATATTGTACCTACCACAGGTAGTATCTCTTCGTGACATATTTTATACGAACTGTGTATTGTAGAAGAAAGAGATATGGGAAGCTGCATCAAATCATCAAAGGGCAAGGTCCTTGTGACAGGTAGGTGCTAGTTAATACTAACTGAGTGGCGCAGCGGGCAACGTTTTTGTCCCAGCCACTGGAAGGTACCTAGGACTAACTAACAACTCCGTCACGTAGGGGGGAGCGGATTTATCGCTTCACACATAATCGACGTATTTCTCGATGATGGGTAGGTATGCTCTCCCCTTTATTAAAGTAACCTCAAAGCTTACGGATTATAAAGATTTGAAGTCGTCGCGACAGCGAGATCGGATGAAAAGGGTCGTAGCATAGTAAATTCTGCACCAATTTCTCAGCAGAAGAACCTTTCATATGTTCTCGTGGGAGATATCTCAGAGGATGGAGCGTTTGACTCTGTAAGACCAGAATTATATCCATACCTATCTTGAGAGAAGAAGGTTCTAATACTTGACAGATATTCAAGACAGAGTCGGCATTCGACTATGTTGTTCACACTGCGTCGCCATATACCCTCAAGGTCCAAGATCCGATTAAAGATTTACTAGACCCAGCAATTAAGGGGACGACGGGTATACTCAAGTCTATTAAGGCATACGCCCCGACTGTAAAGCGTGTCGTGATAACTTCATCCTCGGCAGCCATAATTAACACGCTGAAACATGCCAAAGTCTACGATGAGACACACTGGGCACCGTGGACTTTGGAGGATATTCACATCCCGAAAAGGGCGTATGAAACTAGCAAGGTATCGTTACGTACGTCTTTATATATTCCGAGGCTTTTCCCCTAACCCCCCAATTGCAGGTGCTTTCTGAAAAAGCAGCTTGGAATTTCGTAAAAACCGAGCAGCCAAACTTTGATCTTGCCACCATAAACTGCACTTTTACCTTCGGCCCCGTGCAACGGAGCCTTCCAAGCCTCGATGCTATGAATACGTCCAATCACCGCATCCGAGACATGGTACAGGGCAAGATGAAGGGGGGTTTGCTACCCACTTTACCAGTATTCACATTCGTCGACGTCCGCGATGTAGCACAGGCACATCTGAAAGCTGTAACCGTTCCTGAGGCAGGCGGGAACCGTTTCTATGTTGTCGGGGGTCACTTTTCGAATAAAAGGATCGCGGACGTGATTCGAAATTCGTATCCGGAATTAGCAGGGCAAATACCTGAGGATTCGCACGATGACTTCCCAACAGATGTCTATGAGTTCGACAACAGCAAGTCGAAGAGGATACTGGGATTGGATTATATCGGACTTGAGAAATCTGTAAAGGACACTGTCCAGTCGATACTTGATAGGAGCTGGAGGCTTTAGACGGATACCTAGGTACCTACCTACCTACCTAGTATCTACCTGCCCGTATGTTACCGCTGAGGGAGAATGGACTTGATATGGAGTGGATCCTCAAAATAGGGGGCGGAACAACCACCTGGGCACCTATGAACACTCAGATCACAATTCGCACACTCAACAAAAAGCAACATAGTCACATTTATTATCTACCTACCTAGGTACCTACCTACCTTACCTACATACCTCATATTACTATATTATCGTGAACTTAGCCGAGATCTCTTTGAATTCGACCCTATCATTTTTGAATCATTTCATCTGATCTTATGCGCACGAATAGAATAACACCATCCACCGGAATCGTTATTGAGACATGCATCCCATCTTCCTGCATTTATTTGGGCATCTATCTGGTCTATTGCACCCTCATGAGAGAAGATGTTTGAAATAACTAATAGTGAGCCGAGATTCCGAATGAGGACGGGAGGCAACTATCAGTTACCCCACAATAGGGTCAAATATCAGACTCGCATGACGGTACCGTGATTTGAATCGAAGATGAATCTAAGGCAATCTTTAGATACTCCTATGGAGTTTAGAGGTATTCATCGTTAAAGCATGCAACAACAGTATGACTCCGATATAATTCATGTCTTCTACCTATATATAATTGTCACAGAAAATATCGATGATAGGTACGAAAGTACTCACCTTGATATTGAACATACCTAGAGTCCAATGAACGTAGCGCAAGGAACGAATATTAGAATATTCCTATTATATATCAAATAAGGCGAGGCCAAGTGGGTACCTACTATAAAAATGGGCGGTGCCGGTATATAATTACAAGATCTCGCCAGACGGACCGATAGATTGACGATTCGAAAGCCGCCACCGTTAATCTCGCCCATCTTTCGGCCAAGGATCGGAAAAGGCGCTGGCATCTTCTTATAGGAGGAAAATTCAGTTTCCTTGCAAATTACCTTATATAGACGAACCCGACGGCTCTGACACTACACACATTAGTTCCGGGCATCCGAGTGGACCGCATGACAAGCTTTTCTAACAGTTTAATGAGAAATAAAGAGAATACTACACTAATAGTTGAGCTGATGTGCAAATATTTGAGATATAGGTGGTCAGCATCGGGCATTTTAATTCTTGCGTTAGATGTTAGATAGGTACTGGGTAGCTAAAGTCACACGTAAGAAGTATAACTGGACTTCTCGCGTAGACGCGGTTTACTGCTAATACAGATTTATCCCGAGAAACATCTTGCGAGGTATCTAATCTAAAACTTGTGATGTGTTTCCATACTGGTAGGTATCTAGTTACATACAAGGGTACATTGGATGATATGAGCATGGAGGCTAGGAACCTGGAGGACGGCGTTCAAAGCGGTTAGTTTACAGCTGGCGAACATATGGGGATATATACGAATAATAGGGCCTTTTATCTCCTAGTTTATAAGATAAGAATATATATCTAGGTACTTATTAGGTTATAAATATTAAAGTTCTCTAACTTCATCGTGGAAAGCGGCCTATTTGTGGTGAAACCCATAAACGCGACTCTCAGGGGTCTGCTGACTTATCGCACCTGTGCTGCCAGGTGCGGTCCTATACGGTTTTAAATATTAGTAATTACCTACCTAGGTATCTCGGTAGTTAGTTTATGTGGAAATAGATGCAGGTTATGAGTATCATATTGTATGATTAGTTGGTTGAGTTGCTAGTTCTAGGTAGTGGTTCGTAGATAGTACATATATACCCCTTGAGTACAGGGCGTAGACTTCCAGCCACCTAATATTCCAGCAGTTTATTAATATATAGGATCCTTTAAGTATAAGTTCCAAAAATAGTGGCACATGTGAAGTATTTTCAGGAATCATATGACCCGTCATTTCTACCGGTTATTCTCCCTAGGCTGAATACAGACTGTTGGAGGGGCTCACGGTGTTCTCTAGCAACGCTTCTCAGATTTTGAAACATTATCTTGGAATTCACGTTTGATTTAGGTAAGTCATTGTTTACTAGGAAGCTGTCAATAAAATACACTAGAGAATATGAACATAAAGTTGGATCACCTCATCAATAGAATAACGGGCTCAAAGGCTGCTTGTATGAATTCGCTAGCGAAACATATAGTTTATTATTTCATTCTGTGAGCTTACGACAACTGGGGTAATCTAGGTACTCATAAGGAGGCTGCTTTGCATCAGTTCGACGCCTGCAACACCGCAGACCAGATAGATGAAGAGATAGGTGATATACATTGAATGGACGTTGGCTCATGATAGCGTCTTACTCATCACGGAGAGTGGTAGACTACATTCCAAACGCGGATAAGCCTTGCTTCCTATTTGTCATTTCCCATGTATGCCAAGTACAACTGGCAGTTCCCCAGATTCTCTCGTCCAGTCGCTATATTAGATCCTTGATTGCCGAGCTTTGGCGGATATATGAGTATAATCTAGGTAGGGAGGCAATGAATATGGTGTCCATTTAGCAAATTTACGACCCAGACACGATTGCCGAGCGAATATCTAGGAAGGTACATGGAATATGCGCGGCTAGAAAACAAGATCTGAGTTCTTGGATATGTAATTTTTAGTAAAGCACATATGAAGAATGCGCATATAAGCCTTCCCATCCGCTACTCCTGTCGAAACTACTGAGAACTGTAGACTCATCGGTTTTAGTTCTATCTTAGGTTAGCTCTCATTCAACAACATGGTTCGATCTTTTACCCTCGCAGCGGCGGCTGCTCTGCTGTCTGCTCCGCTAGTTAGCTCTCACTACATCCTCAACATCCGTAAGACCTCAATATTTTGGCTGTGTACTAACTAGAGGCCATCGCTAAATATCTTCATAGTCATGCACAATGGCAAGCAAGTCGGCGGTGAATACACATACGTCCGAAAGAACTCCAACAGCTACATGCCGTCTTTCATGGAGATTATCGACTCGTTGGTACTCCCTTCACCATAAGAGAATCCTCCAATAGAGACTAAACAAGAGATAGAAACGATTTGAGGTGCAACAAGGGCGCTACCAGTGCCGGAACTAAGACTTACATGGATGTTAAGGCTGGAGACAAGATCGGTCTCAAGCTGTTCAACAACGAATTCATTGAGCACCCGGGTCCAGGATTCTTTTACATGTCCAAGGCCCCTGGCAATGTTAGCGACTACGACGGATCTGGCGATTGGTTTAAGGTGTAAGTAACATCATCCCCGATCCTAGAGGTTTTATAGATGAGAAATTGACGAAATTAGTTGGGAATCTGGCCCAACCGGAAGCCCAACCAGCACTGGTGGCTGGCCAACCTACGGCAAATACACCATGGAATTCACTCTGCCAACGACTCTTGAGGATGGTGAATACCTCCTCCGAGGAGAGCACATCGGTATCCACGAGAACCGTAAGTCCCCTTTCTATACCTATTCATCGCAAATAGCCTTTGCTAACATGATACATCCAGACGCTGGAAAGCCCCAGGTAAATACCCAATAGCTATCCCTTACCCCCAATTTTGGCACTTTGCTACTGTTTATAGGTTACTAATGAGAACTTTGAAACAGCTCTGTAAGTTATTGCAACCTCTTCAGACGGACGGTACATTTGCTGACAACTATATCTACGTAGACATGGAGTGCGCTCAGATTCGCATCACCGGAGGCACCGGTACGGCCAAGCCATCTCCGCTCGTCAAGATCCCCGGAATCTACAGCAAGACAGACCCTGGTCTCACCTTCAACTTCTGGGGTGGTGCTGGCGCTTACGTGATGCCCGGACCCGCCGTCGCGACGCTCTAGATGCTTTTAGAGACATCTACCGAATGAAACAGTTCAGGAGGTTAAGCATGCGACTATCGACTTAACCGATGATAGGTTGGAAAAATAAATGGACCAATTTGTCATATAGTAAATATCTAACTGTTAGACGGAATTGAACATCCTAAAACCCCTAATCTCAGAGGCTGCTGAAGGTGCCTTGTAGACATTATTCATATGTAAAACGGGTATCATATTAGCCAGTTCCTCCTATGCACCTCTGCTTATGTTATACTTATACGCACATAATTATCTAGATGCACTGCGAATTAGAATTATCTCCTAGAATAGGGGTAGGGGATATTTGGACTCACCATTACCACGGGCGCCACCAAAGCCGACTTGTTGATGGGTTACCCGTCAATCCTTCAATATCCCCAAATCGAAGATAATAAGAAGACCAGTGATTGAAAGACAATGATTGAGAACTATGTAATGAGAAGAAATGAATTTTAGATATGTTGCTTGTCTCTCAACCGGAATAGTAGTTTGGGCGAAATCGCCGTGTCGCTTCGTAGGCTGTCCATCGAGGAACAGTAGGATCTTCAGCAGTTGCAACATATGTTTGGCTAGGAGGCCGTGGTATAGGTCGGCGAAAGTGTGCATCTGCTGGTCGAGTAACGTCTACCATCTCGTCTGTATAATAGATCACATTCTCTTGGTCGTCTTCGTAAGCGGTATAACGGCTGCACCCACATCGCTTCGTGCAACAACACCATATGACTATGCCTAGAACAAGGGCACCGATTAAACATCCCACTATTATACCAATCTGTGTCTGTCCGAGGCCATCTGACGATGTAGCGCCCGCGCTCCAGCTCGGAGTCGAAGAGCTAGTTGGCGGACTACCGCGGTCGAGAGTCACTAAGGTTGTACTCGTCGAGTCGGGATATGTGATAGTCTGTGTGATAACAACCTGCCGCTTCACTATGTCGGGATTCTCTTCGGCCGCGACAATGATCAGTGTTGTAAAGTTGATGGACATCTCTGCGGCAGAAAGCGCTTGTCTGGGCTTGGCAGATATCGCGAATCAGACCCGAAAGCCGCGGTCTATGACCCAGTCCTGGTAAAGTATCCTATGGAACTGGGTCTCAAGGGGAACGGATCGTCAGGCAGTTTTATCGACGACCCTGTCACACGGGACTCACCCCGCGCGCGCGCATGCAATTATCTCCCCTGGACACGTTGGACCTGACCACACCAATCCAGCTGCAGCCGAATCAGATCGCATCGTTATCTGACATTGGCCAGACTCAGATGACGATTTTACTGCCCTACCATGATAGGTGCCAACCCACACGCGGTTGGGTTGCCAACGGCTCGGCATCTGGGCGGATACGGGCATTTCATACCATCTGGCGGGTGCAACATGACTGCCCGCTAATGCAAATCATATGCAGCTGTGGAATGTAGATAATGCGTCGCCCAGACTTGGAATTTCTTATTTGTTCTAGTTTCAGAAGGGTAACATTGGGGTCCGAATATTTCTCATATTAAGCCTATCACATGGAACGGCATTGGGGACTGCGAAACTTCGTCTAAAATCATGGCTATACACCGAAAAACTGCATCGCGTGCATATGTACAAACCTCTATTACCGGTTATCATTTCACCAACATACATATTCTTAATTTGTTGTGTTCCAGTTTGTTATTCAACAGGGCTGTAATGGACGTAAATCCGCCATTTTATTACTTGTCAGATATAACTTTCTCATTAAATGACGAATCTCGTTCATTCCCGCAGGTAGTACAACACGGCTGTTCCCATGGAGTCCATGGAGTGCCTGGAAGCCCGATACAGAATTTCCTTGACGAATAAGAAGATGCGCAATCGCCGGCGTGGCTGCATTTACCGAGTCCACATACGTCAAGAATAACCAACTCAGGGGCTGAGTCCCGGGATAGCCCTGTAGGCTTTTTCTTCTAATTTCACATAGGTCGGTAGAGGAAATGATTGAAATGAATTTCTCAATCTTTCTTCTCAACATGCTGAACGGTTATCTTCGCTTCTTCCATCTTGTGTAGAACAATCTCGTGGGCCTGTGAGGAAGATTGACACTCAAACGTGGAAAATTCTCGAGCAGGCACCCGCTTTTCAAATAATTCATCAATTTCTTCCAAAGATCTGCCTTTCATGTCGGGCAAGAAGAACCAAAATACAGCTGCGACGCAGTTAGTGAGAGAGCACTGCATATAGATTGCGCCCAGATGTCTCACCGAACGTTAAGGCGTTGGACGCGGCCCAGATCCAGCAATATTTAGCTCCCCAATTCATCGCAGTCGGATTGATGAAGTACGGCGAACAAAAGGAGGTGAGCCCTGCATCATCAAAAGTCAGCCTACCTACGTCCTACATATGTTAGGACATTGGAGTCCTTCATATAGCCCAATACCACTCGAGATATTACGTCGCACGATGCGGGTTACTGAATAATAATATACTCACAGGCGAAGATGTAGTCCACACCGGTAGCAAAGGACAAGGTTGCCACACGCAAGCGCGAATTTACGACCTCAGCCGATATAGGCCACGTCATCGAGCCTGCGAAACCGCCATAGATGATAACATAGAGGAAATTGAATGCGACGAAGGTCTTCGCGGATGCCGGCGTGTCGGGGGCGATCGTGGCTCCCAGAGCCGGACCAAGCATAGAGACCACTGCACCTCCAGTCCCGATTAAGAGCATGGTACGGCGGTCAAAGACCTTATATGCGAAATATAAGCCGATTCCGACACTGGCAAAGCCTATTATCATCATGTATATTCCAATTCTAAAGACGTCATCTATACCTGCTTGCTAATAAAAGTATATCTTAGGACGGCGGACCATAAGGACAAATCCGCCAACCCGCCAATTCAATTAATATATTAAAAAATATACTATATAAATATAGTGTACGACGAAAATATATTGTGCTTTATAATTCAATAATTAAAAGGCTTATAAACTATAATACGTATAAGTAAATATTTATTAAATAAATATAATAAGTTTTTTTATTTTTATAAAAATATTAAAAAAATAAATATTTACTTAATAATATTATAATAATTATTAATTAAATTAAATTTTATTATATTTAAGTATTTAATAAATAAATAAATATGTAATTATTATTTATTATAACATTAAAAGTTATAATAATAAAAACAAGTTAATTTAATTATTTTATTATATTATTTAAGTTTTTAATTATATTAAAATAAGCGAAAATTTTTATATTTAAACGTAAAAAAAAAGTAATTTAATATATTATTAACTTAAATTTTAAATTATTATTAATTTAACGATTAATTAAATAATTTTTCGAAAATAAATAAATAAATAAAAAATATATTAAATATAAAAATAAAAAACTTTAATAATAACTTTTTAATAATAAAAAAGATAATTTTACGATTAATAAATAAAATATTAATTATTTAATGTTTTTTTTAAAAAGTAAAGCTTTATTTAACAAGGTTTTTTCGAATTTAACTTTAATATCTTTTTTTATTAACGTAATTTTTATTTATTTTTACTTTTATTTTTTATAATTATATTTTTATTTTTAATTTAATTTTTTAATAATTATAGTTTTTTATTTTATTTCGTGTTTATTTAAATAATAAATAATTATTTATGTATTTTTAATTTTTTTATTATTTATTTTACGTAAATAATAATATAATTTTAATTTATTTCGGTTTAAAATATTTATATATTTTTATATATTATTAAAAACCTTTCGAACGTTATTAAATATAATTTAAATATATTTTCGATAAAAAATACGGTTTTTTTTTATTTTTATAATTTAAAATAATAATTAAAAAACTAAATTACGGTATATTTTTAACGTTAATAAAGATTTATTAAATAAAATTAATATTATCATTTATAATATCGTTATTATTACTATTATTATAATATAAAAAAAACGCGTTTAAATTAAAATATATAAAGTTTAAGGAATAATTATTATAATTAATTAAATTTTTTTTAAGTTTAAAATATATAAAATAATATATATAATTTCATGTTAAATTAAAAAATATTATTTTTAATTAATTATATTTAATTAACTTTTAAAGTTAAGTTTATATAAAAAAAATTATAACTTAATATATTATTATATTTAAATAAACTTTAATTTTTCCGTTTTATATTATTTATAATTAAAAATATTAATATTTTATAAAAAACGTAATTAAATAATATAATTTATATTAAGTTTTATTAAAACTTAATAATATTACGTAATAACGTATTATTAAAAGGAATATTTTAAATATATTACATGAAGTTATAAATAAATAAACTTATAAAAATTAATATATTTATATAATTTTAATATTTAAAATATTAATTAATATAATATTAATATTATAAAAAATCTTTAAAAATAAAATGCTTATTTATATAATGTTTATTATTTTTTAAAATAATTAAAATAATATATTAAACCTATTTATTTATATAATGTTTTATCGTTTATTAATAAACTTTTCGTAATATTTAAACTTTAATAATTTCGATCGTTTGCGAGTATTATATTTAAAAGTCGATAATTTTTTATCGATTTAAGAATTTAAAGTATTACGGTTTTTACGTGATTTGTTATTTTAGTTTTTTTTTACGTTTATTAATTAAATAATTTTATTTTTTTAACGCGTTATTAAACCGTCTTTTCCGTTCTTAAAATCGATAATATTAATAAAGAGTTAATTAATTTTTCGTTTTTTAACATTTACTTTAAGCTTTAACGAGTGGTTTTTATAGGAAAATGTAAAAAGATTTTCGGTAAGTATGTAATTATAATTATTATTATATTTTAAAACGGTAGTTATAATAACGGGGTTTATATTAATGGTTAAATTTTAGTTATTTAAAAAAATTTTATTTTAAGTAGTTAAACTTTATTACGATTTTAATAAAATAGCGTTTTAAAAAAATTAAAATTAATAAATAATTTTATTAAAAATGTTTTATATTTTATAAAAAACGAATAATATTTTTATATCGATGGTTTATATTATATTTATAAAAATAAATGAGTTTTTTTTATTAAACGTAACCGGTTTTTTTCGTATAAATTTTTTTAAATTTTTTTCGTTTATATTATTTACTTTTAATTTTAAAAAAAAGTTAAACTATTTTTACCGTAAATTAAAAGTATAAAAGTTTAAAAATTCGTAATTTACGACGGGTAATTTATTAATAAAGTTAATTTATTAACGCATTTTATAAATTATAAGACGCTCGGTTAATATAAAATTTTTTTAAAAAACGTTAATAATAAATTAATAATAAAAATAATTTAATAAAACTTATAATTTTAAAACGTTTTAAAATAAAACTCTTTAAATTTTATTATCGCGTTATTTTAAAAATTAATAATAATAGGTTAAATTAATTTAAAATTTCTTTTCGTAATATTTAATTTTTTATTAATAATAAAATAAAGTTAAAATTTACATATAAATATACCGGTTAACGTTATATAGGTTAACTTTTCTTATCGTTTTTAAGGAATAAATTATTTAAATTTTCGACTCGTTTTATAAATAAAAATATAATAAAAGCCGAAATATAAGAAATGTAAAAATTGCGGGGATTTATCGCGAATTATATATATAAAGGTATATTAATCCGTTTTTTATATATAATTATAAAAGTTTTAAAAATATTACTTTTAATATAAAGTTTTAATTTATTTTAAAGATTTTTATTTTTTTTAAGTAAATTATTAATAATTATTTATTTATACTCGGTAATATTTATTAACGAAATAATAATATAATATTTTCTTATTAATTAAAACTTTTTAATAAATTTAACGTAATAATTATATTTAAAGGTTTTTTATTAATTAACTTAAAACTAATTTATAATATTAATATTAAATTAAACTTATAAAGTTAAATATTATTTTAAAAAAAAAATTAAAATATCGCTTTTTTTTAAATAACATTTATAAAAATAATTTTAATTAAATAAACTTAAATTTAATTTACATATTTTAAAATATTTAATTATTGTAAATGTTATTTTTATTTTATATTCGTGAATATAATATTCGTAAACGTATAAAATAATTTTTAAAATTATTTTATTTTTTTTTTTATCGTACGTTAACCCGTTTATTATAATATTTTTAATATATTTCCTTTTAATAATGTACCATTTATTTAATATTTACGTATAAATATTATTTATATAAATTAAAACGTTATTACTTTATTTATTTAATTTATATTTACTTCGTTTATTACCGGTAAAATTAATTCGAAGTTATATATATTAAAAAAAATTAACCGGCCCGTATTTCGTTATAAAGGATGTGCTGGAGTTATAATATATAATAAGCTAAATAATATATAATAAATTCGATAAAAAAGAAACAAGTTGCGAGGTTAGTGGGTTAACGAGTTTATTACGCTTTTTTTCGTTTTTACATTTATTTTTAACGAAAAAATAATAAAAGTAATAATAAAAAAGATAAATTAAACGGTTTTATTTTAATAATTATAAATAAAAAATATCGTATAATAAATTAAGGTTATTTTTATAAACTTTTAATAATGTATATTAATAATTTTTTTTATATATATTTAAAAAACTTATAATAAATAATATTATTTTTACGATTAATTATATTATTTAAATAATATTTAAATGAGTAAATAAATTACTTATAATACGAAATAAATTTATATAAATAATCGATATTATATATAAAAATACTTTATAAATATTAAAAAACAAAGAAAATTCGATTTTTATTTTAAAGTTATTAATTTAAATCTTATTATAAAAAAAATAAATTATTTCGTGTTACGTTCGTTCCATTTTATAATTATATCGATATTATTATATAATTATTTACCGCGTGTTATTATATAATAAATAAAATTATTTATTATTAATTTAATTATACGGCGGTTTATATTTAATATAAAAACATATATTTTTAATTAAATTCGATTTAAATAAATTAATAAAAATAATTATATTATATTAATATATAAAATAAATATAAAGGATATATATGGTAAAAAAAAAAATTATAATTAATTATAACATGAAAAAAAATAAATTTAATTAAAAGATTTAGTTTTTTATAAACGATAATTAAAATTAACCGAAGGATTTTATTAATGATTATAATTATAATTAATATATTTTTATATATTTTATAATAATTTAAAACTTAATTTAATTAAATCGTAACGAAAAGAAAAAAAAGGGTAGGTAAATTAAAAAAATTCGCCGTATATATTAAAAAAAAAACTTAAAAAAAAAAAAAAAAAGTGAAAAAAAGTTAAAAGAAAAAGTATAATATTGAAAAGTTAAAATTACGAAATAATAACTTAAAAATTTCGAAAGTTTTAATTAAGTGATATTATATTCGCATTACGCGGGGACTTTATATTTATAAGCTAATATTAATAATTAATTCGAATAATAAAAGGAAATTAATAATTATTATTTTTCGTTAAAGTTAATATATCACGAATTTGAATTAATTTTCGAGCTTTTAAAAATCGAATTTTTTAATTATAATTAAAAAAAAATAATTTATAAAAAAAAATCTTATATTTTTTTCGAAATAAATATAATTTTAATATTAATTTATATACTTTTTAATAATAATTTTAATAATGGGGTTTTCGTAAAAATAAGTTAAATATTAATTTTATTAAAGCGAAAATTCGTTAATTTTTCGAAATAAAGTTATTATATATTTTTATTATTAATTATTTAAACGAAAAATAATTAAAAATTAATATATCGAAATAATTTTTAAAACGTAAATTAAAAAAATAAAAAATAACTTATTACGAAAAACTTAATTATAACTTAAAACTTGTAAATATTATACGAAATTACTTTTATAAAAAAAATTATTACGACGATTTAATTTTAACTTATTTATAATATTAATATAAAATAATG